ACGCTTAAGATAAGAGCTGTGCACATTAACAACTAATTCGAAGCTAAAACGAAGTAAAAACAGGACAACTATGAATCGAGAACGCGGACTGGGAAGTAATTATTAAGAGAACACGCTAGCTCACACCGAGAGAGGAAAGTGTTTGGCTCAAGTAGAAGGAAGTTCGCAAATGACCTTCGGCAGGGACACGCAGAACTTATCGTGTTTAACGGCAATACTTAATATATGTATATATGTATATATATTTATTTATTTATTATATACGTGAATTGGGACCGCGAACAAACTTAATTGAATTGGCAACCATTTTGGGTAGCTGTTCAGCTCTTCGGGATCTGTGTGTGTGTGTGTGTGTGTGAGTGTGGCGCCCTCTCTAAGGGTGCAGCAGCGAATGCCAGGTTCAAGTTCAAGTTTGTGGCACACAAATAGATATAGATAGATGCACGCCAATAAATCGCCTCTGACAGCGGACAAAACGTATATCAAAGCGTAGCGAACACCCGATGGCTGTGTCAGATATTTCTATGCAAATCTATATATACACACATATGTGTATAGAAACATATAGTCGCCTGCATATCTCGCAATTATCTTAATTATTTGCCAGAGGATCGGCGGGAGAAGCAGACGTTCGTCATGCAGTTGGCACATGAACATAGGCCCCATAACCGGATCGATGCGACCCGCAACCTGAAAACATATACATACATATATAAACAGATATACATGATATATACAGACATATAGAGAGTGCCGCCCTATAACGTTGGACGCCTGCCCAAGCGCTAGTGTGGAAAGGAGGCGCAATGAGCTCCTCGCTGACTGGGCACATGATTTAGCTAAGTGACAGCTTGACAGGAGCCGCCGCAATGGATCGATGTGTGGGGTGACCTTTGGGGCAAGTTAGACAAACTGCACCACCGACCACCACTGTGCACCACAGCTAACAACTGCCGGATCATTAAATAGCATTGACAAGTAGCGAAAGCCTAAGCCAAGCGATTGGTCGAATTGTAGATACACTAGAGAGAGTTTTTGACTTTACTTAGCCAATTGACAGCTTTGCGAATATATTGTAAATGTTATGGATGCTGTTTATATAAGTGTATATAGATTTTTACAATATAAAAATTATGTAATAGATAAAAATAAAATATATTTATATAATGAACCTTAAACAATGAATTGCCAAGGCGAGTTTTATAGAAAAAGAATATATGTACATAAATAAAAATAAACGAAAACTAGGTCAAGGTTCAAAGCTGCTGCTTTGACGGATTGAGTTTGAGTTATGTGATACAGTTAACATTTTATCATATAACCAGACACACAAGGTTAAACTTTATCAGCAGAGCTTATCGTAATGCTCGGTTATACATATTACTATATGTAATATATATATGAAATAGATTGCCTGTCAATGTCCGTTTTCAAGTGGCTGACAAAGTAATAAAACTCTTCAAAAGACCATCAAAATGCGATTAAATCGACGAAACTAAACTAGGAACTGACGCAAAACTGTTGAGGTAGGAACTCCGATACCCTCGAAGGCTAATCAATTGTAGTTCTGACTGCGGCTTGGAATTTTCCGCTTGAAGATAATTATGAATGTCAATCAAACGAGCTGCAAATGCGTGTTGCCTCATCAAGAGCCTTCAAACCCCGCCGAACGCAGTGTCCCAATTTTCGTTGCCGGCATTTGAGAGCGAGAGAGAAACAGAGTGCGATACACTGAGAGAGAGAGAGAGAGGTAGAAAAGGAGAAGCAGAGAGAGAAAGAGAGAGAGAGAGTGGGCGCGAGAGTGTTTGGCATTGTAAGGGATTATTATAGCAAACGAAACTTCGCTCTCTCAGCAAGGACGAAGCATAAAAGCGGGCGACAGGCCAAACGATGCGCATTCACTGGAGCTAGCTTCGAGTCGACGGTTCGCGCAGCGGAAACGGAAACGGAAGTGAGAAAATTAGCAGCAGCAGCCAAACCAGACGCGACTCAATTAAGAAAAAGTGCATAGTGAAAACGAAAGCCAAGGAACTGTTTGTGCACTTAAAGACCAGTTAAAGCCAACGAGCCTTGAGCGTTGACCCTTGAGCGTTAATCCTTCAGCGACCGCAAACGAGCTACTGTGAATACCTATTCACAGTTGAGTGGGCGCTGAGCGACGCGTTCTGAGGCGTGACACAGATTCCGATTGAGAAGGGAGCCGCAGAGTCACAGAGCCACATCGAAGACTGCACCAAGCAGCTGCAGCGGCCGTTATCGATTATTTCGTGAGACAGCGAACGGGCAGAGCAGCCGTTGAGCAAACGCAATCGCAAACGGACGCAGTTCGTCCGATTCTAGGGAAAGCGGCCCAGCACAAAACCACTACAACGGAGCCATTCAGCGAGCGCGATTTGGTGCTAGGCGCTGTCCGAGACGCCGCCAACAGTAAAACACGAACATTGACGCTGAAAAAGACGACGCCACATCGATAGAGGCTGCACTAAGAGCACAACTGGGAACAGGGAACGAGAACGAGAACGGGAACGGGAGCCAGCCAGCCAGCCAAATGGCTTACCTAATTAACATACTCAAGTTCAATGTGAAGTACTTAAAAAATCAATAATTTGCGCACAGTCTGACAATTGTCATCCATCACACTATATACACACAGACTTACATATATATAAACCCTTATATATATTAAAGTAAGCGCTCGTTTGAGGCATTCACACACACTGATACACACACACACACACACAGACACAGACACTCACACGTACGAGTTATAGGACTTCCTCGTATCCTCCACCTCCCGCTGCCGTCAACATCTACTTTCTATAGCCGTCTCGCTCGCGACTTGTTGTTGCTTTGCTGCAGCGATTGCTGTCCATTGCCCACACCCGACCTGTACAATGGAAAAGTCTGGGAAATTTTCAGATTACCTCTTCGCCAAAATGGGTCCACCGAATATGACGGCAGCCGTGCACGGCACTGAGCTGCCACCGAAGACCACGGAGCGCTGCGATGCGCCCCTCGAGCTAACTGGCTATCGCAAATGGCTGAGCGATAATCTGATGCTCCTTGTCACGCTCTCCGGCGTCATGCTGGGCGTCATTTTGGGTAAGTCTAACGAAATGCATAGCATAGCACTGGAGGGGTAATCCCCATCCATTCTCTATTGATACACTGTACGAAAAATAATGAATATTTCATTTTTTCGGCTATCGGTTAAGTATTACTTTTCTTAATTATTTTAACTTTGCAACAATTTCAGTATATTTTAAATGTATTCAAGTGCACCATTTATTAAGTGAATAATATTTAGTATTCTATTTGGTTTTTAAATTTTAGGCAAAGTTATCAAACATTTTAAATTATCTTTAAACTGGTCAAGTTTTTGTTAAATTGTAATTTATTTTTGCATTATTAATTAGTCTTAGCAGGAAATTATTTAGTAAATTTTTTATCGTAATTTAAATAAAAAATCATTTTGGAAAAAGTAAATAAATAAAAATAAAAATAAATAAAATAAAAACACATGCATACATGTATATATAATGCCTGAAATATATAAAACTTAAAAATCAAAAAGCCTAAGTTATTTAAATAAATAGTAAGAAAATAGAAATCTTCATTACTCATAAATCTTCATTTACTCATCATAGAGTTTATTTATTTATTTATAATAGTTAACTATAATTAAAATTATAAGCTAACTTAATAACTAAGCGCTAGCTATTAAGGCCTTCGGCTTGACAACATTGAGTTAATAACTACCGTTTGCACTGCTTGCTACGAAATCGTTCTTAGAGTATCTTAAAAAACATTCTCAATTATAATTTTCTCCAAAGGCCTCTCGTTGCGTCCGTTGCAGCTGCACGAGGACTCGATTATGCTGATCTCGTACCCGGGCGAGCTGTTCATGCGTGTGCTGAAGCTGATGATACTGCCATTGGTTATCTCCAGCCTGATTGCCGGCTCGGCTAGCCTGAATGCCAAGATGAATGGCAAAATCGCGCTGCGTACTCTCGTCTATTTCGCCACGACTTCGTTGTTCAACGCGGCGCTGGGCATTGCGCTCGTCATGCTCATCCATCCAGGCAATCCGGATTTGCACAATGCAGACGATCGGGCATCGGACAAACGGGCTGTTAAGTTATTGGACAGCCTCTTGGATTTGGGCAGGTGAGTGAAGCGAAATCGCGCCTAAAACGCCTACAAAACGCGCGAAACTACACTGCTTGTTGAAATGCAGATGTAAGCAGTTCGTTTCGAGTTAACAGTGAAGTGTTCTGTAAATGTTATGTATATATATTTAAACAGCTTACAGCTTACTGTCTTCTGTTTCATGTATCTTAAACTGCTTGCAATAACTGCTAAAAGCACAGCATATACTATAAATCATTGCTTCTTCAAGTAGTTTAAACTGCTTTAAATACGTTATTTTTCTTGCAGAAACGTATTTCCGGACAACCTGTTCCAGGCATCGATACAACAGGCGCACACCGTCTATCTGCCCAAGCCGAGCGTTTTGCACAGCTTGAACGATACAGCCAACGATACGGCCGTAGGCATCGTGCACGGTGTGGAGGCACAACGTCAGATCCCGGAGATGGAGCCTGTGGTGCTGGTGAGGGATGTGCAATATCGCAGCGGCACCAATACGCTGGGCATTGTGTTCTTTTGCCTCGTCTTTGGCACCGTCTTGGGCACCATCGGGCAGAAGGGTCAGGTGGTTGTCGACTTCTTTGCGGCCGTATTCGAGGTGATCATGAAGATGGTGACGTGCGTGATGTGGCTAACGCCGGTGGGCATCAGTTCGGTCATCGCTGGCAAAATACTGAGTGTCGATAATCTGAGCCTGGTGATGGCCCAGCTGGTGTGGTTCATCATAACGGTGGCCATCGGTGTGGTCATCTATCAGCTAATTGTGATGCAGTTCATCTACTTTGTGTTCGTGCGACGTAATCCCTTCAAGTTCTACAAGGGCCTCATTGAGGCCATGCTAACCGCCTTTGCCACCGCATCAACGTAAGCCATTAAAATCTATACTCTCTGCTCTCTTTCTGTCTCTCTCTCTCTCTCAATTTACTTGCTGAGAGATATAAAACCCTTGTCTCTATCTCTCTCTCTGTGTGGTTGCGAACGTTTAACATGTTACAAGTATTTTTCCTTCTTTTTGGTTTCCAAACGATTTGATTTTCCATTCGTTGATTTTTTCTTTCGAAAAAAAAAAATATATTTTGATTTGCAAATCACAAAACTCACCAAATACAACAATAACAACACATATCGAAAACAACAACAACATCCCAATCGAATACGCATTTGAAATCGTTTCGAAACTCATGTGACAACTGATCTGGCAACGCCTGCAGCGCCGCCGCTCTGCCGCTGACATTCCGCTGCATGAACGAGAAGCTCCGCATTGATCAGCGCATCACACGCTTCGTCCTGCCCATTGGCTGCAACATCAACATGGACGGCACCGCCCTCTTCATAGCTGTCGCCTCCATCTTCATCGCCCAGATGAGCGGCATGGTGCTGGGCTTTGGTGAACTCTTGACCGTGCTGCTGACCTCCACGGCGGCCTCAATGAGCTCGGCGAGCGTGCCGAGCGCAGCGCTGGTCCTGCTGCTAGTTGTCCTGACCGCCATCGATGCACCCGTACAGGATGTGACGTTGCTCTTCGCCGTGGATTGGTTTGTGTAAGTAGAGCTACATATATAGTGAAAGGACCCTTAGGTATAATTGAACTGGGCTAAAAATTCAAAGTGTCCTGTCTTCTTCTTAGAGATATTCTGGGTTCAAACTAGACTAGAGATTCCTTACCTCTCTTATCGTAGTTCATCCTTAGCTCTTTCATTAGTCAATCTTTATATACCCTATTTGTGCAAAGACTTATAGCTTCCTGCTTTGCAGTGATCGCATACGCACAACCAACAACATGCTAGGGGACTGCTATGCCGCCGCTGTCGTCGAGGAGCTGTCGCGCAAGGAGCTAATGGCCTTGGATGCTGCTGCTGTCAATTATCCGGTAGGACTATGCTCAACTACCACAAGCATATATCTAAAACGATTTTCCTATTTATAAAGGATATGCCCGCTGGCACACCCAATGGGCATCATGTGGGCCTGCTGGAGGGGCAAACCGAGCTGGAATCGCCCGGAAAATGTCAATTGAATGACTCCGTAGTCGTGGACATGAGCGCCGTAATGAACAATGTGAATCTACAGCAGGAGCAGAGCAATCGTCGGGTCTAAGCGAATAAACAGGACTTCAAGCAGAAGCACCAATAAGCACGTAGATTACCACCAATAGACCACAGTGTTCCCCCAATAACAACAACAACAACAACAACACCTTTTGATAAACTCTTTTTGATTTTTTGATGAAGAAAAAAAAAAAACAAAAAAATGAATACAAAAGTAATTCAACATTTATAGAAATGTCAATCCAACTGTTTGTGAGACTGTCCAAATAGAATTTTGTCTATGAGTTAAACCCACCCTGAAAAAGAATGAAGAAGATAGCAGAAACTACATATATCAGATAGACAATGTTTCCATATGAGATCTGACCAAAATATCAATAGCAATTACTTAGGCAGATGCAAATATACACGCGAAGATCGGATTGGATCGGGTCGAAAGTCAATATACATATATACACATAACATATATAATAATAGTTTATGAATAAAGTAGAGGCCACCTGCAAGATTCATATAACTTATATATATGAGTCAATTAATAGGCGTATACGTATATATAATTTCGATATGATATGCAATGAAAGTAGTAGCAACCAAATCTAATATTATATAAATATATACACTCAACTAATTTCAAGAGGAGGAAATGGAAGTGGATTTTTGTGATGTGTTTTAAACTATATGCATAATCTGTATGGGTATTATTTTATAAGCGCCGCGGCTAGGGTCGGCCAGGCGACCTATTTTTGTGATTGTGTCATTGATGGCAAGACGGGAACTTTTTAAAAAACAATTATGATTTAACAAACATTATAATATACAATATACACTATATTTATATTGGGAGAGATATGGTTTTTTCTTATGTATTTGAAATCGTAAGTGCAAATGCGCAGGTTGTAAACGAAGTTGGCTTAGTTTTCGCTTTTGGTTGACTGCGAAACCCACCTCAGTTCAATTGATTTTGTTTTAGACCACACTCACCTATATATAACTATTTATATACATAAATATATCTATATATGATTGTATATCCCTTATGCATACGTAGACTGATAGTAGATTTAGTGTGATTATATTGAAACATACATACATACATACTTACTTATAAAACATACCGAAAAACCATATCCAACATTCGATTTGTACGCATACGCTGAATACAATAAATTAATAAACAGTTATTATGTTAATCTATAAAAATTGATTTATTTACG